GTGCCAAAAACAAAGACGGATATCAATATTACGAAAACAACCGCTGCTATCTGCAAAACCGGAAATTTGGAAAGCACAAAGTACAGACTCAATTGCCAAATTTTGGATACCCCCCTCACACAGGCATACATTATAAACTCCTAAAAATGCCTCAAATTGTTCAGGTGGGGAGTAACATACGTACTCTCCAAAACCGAAGAGACACAGAACGCGAAGAACTATAGACCCATCACCTGCCTACCAAAAATATACGCGCTCATCACTTCTATCATTATCGAGTGTACATAGAACTACCTTGAGAAAAATAGTTTACTCCCAGCAGAACAGAAGGGATGTAAAAGAGGAAGTTACGGGTGCAAGGACCAACTAAGCAATAAAAAAATATTAGAAGAGGTGAAAACAAGGAAAAGAAACTTATCGATAGCATAGATCGACTACAGAAAGGCGTTCGACCACTTAGGAATACCAAGTATTGTAAGCATATTCTTGAACGAATCTCTAAACGTACTTGTGTTTACGGCCATATCACGTAGAAAAACCGGTTCTCATATGATCATCGAAGTTAAGCAACTTCGAGCCTGGTTAGTACCTACATGGGTAATCACTTAGGAATACCAAGTGCTGTAAGCGTGTCTGTGCTGGTAGTCTAATGGATAACGGGTCGGGATTGGATGTCGCAGAGTTGAATTTCATTTCTAGCCAGGTTCGTTATATTGACTTACGCGCAAATACCCTTGGGAAAGGTAGGAATCCACACCTTTTGCTCCCAGCTATGGGTTAATTAGTAGGATTTGTAACGATAAGTAATTATTATTCCCCCCACCACAAATTCTTACAACCTTAAAATATTTTATGGCTTTGAATAATCTGCACAAATTGATAAGACGTAAAAAATGTAACGTACACAGGCTGAGTCTACTTCAACTCTATACTTCTAACGTCTCCACCTAAACTCTGAAATGTTATTTATTTATTTTCTTCCTTCAGTAGTAGTAGATAGGTTTTTTGAATAGGGGTAGAGGTCTATCCCTTGCTTCCTGTTTAGGATTGGGTTTCCGGTTCCTTCTAAATTCTACTTCAACTCTATACTTCTAACGTCTCCACCTAAACTCTGAAATGTTATTTATTTATTTTCTTCCTTCAGTAGGAGTAGATAGGTTTTTTGAATAGGAGTAGAGGTTTATCCCTTGTTTCTTACTTAGGATTGAATTTCCGGTTCCTTCAAATTCTTTTATTTTTCTTTCACTCTCAGTAGCCGATTTCGGCTTAGTCGAATTATCGCCTTACTTGCAGTCAAATGATAAAAAAAAAGATGTCAAACTGAATCAAATGGATTTCTTATTAGCCTCCAGAAATTTAAAGAACAAATATTTCCTGTATTCAAGCGAAATGATCCAAACTAGATTTCTGCCAATAATCTTCAATAGGTTTAATGTCGCCTGCAGCATCCCGTTTGGCTAATATATTGCTGTCAACAGCCGTCACCAACAGTCATTTAACTTGAGAAGAAAATGAAAAAATAGAAGATGAACATGACCCTCCGTCAGTTTCCTTTGAGATGATTTTAATCAATTGCTTAGAGCTTTTCTTCTATTTAAATTCTTTAAATACGATGCCTTCACAGTTTAAGCTTCTTTTCCCATCCAACTTGTTACTGTTGTTTTTTTTTTTTTTGTAAAAGTGTTTCTTCTTTCTGTCGAATCTGAAGTTAGTACGGGTTCTCTGTGATCTTCTTTTCCTTTTAAGGAATCTTGATGTTAGCTTCTTTAAGCAGACGACATTAGCATCCATTTTCTTTTATTCCCATAAGTCTTCATCTTTCACTCAAGATCGACATTTTTTGGTTTCTATGTTTCCTCTTTATATATATATATATATATATATATATATATATATATATATATTACGTGTCTTTAATGCATTTTTTCTTTGAGATAATTCGTTCCCGATTTTCGTTTTTGGTATTTTTCGTTTTACAACTTTCTTTTCTATCTTCGATTTCATCTTGCTTTTCTTCACTGTTTTTCTCCTTCAAACAATCGATTCATTCGTTTTTTCTTTTGTCTTTCATTCTCTGCATTTTTTTTCCTTCCACCTGCCTAATTTTTCTCAGGTTTTTCTTTTATACTTTTTCAATATTCATTTTGAATTTCGTTCGTTCTTTCTTTCTTTCTTTCTTTTTAAGTACGTTTTCTTTCTTCGTTTCTACCATGTACGCTAGTTTTCGTTGTTTCTCACCAATTTTTCTTTTCAAAATTTCTTTCTTCTCTTCTTTCTTTCTTTTTTGTACACCTCCTTTCTTTCTTTCTTTCTTTCTTTCTTTCTTTCTATTGTGAGACCGGAAACTACCTACACAATTGACTCTTCCAGGCCTATATTAAGTAGGCGACATAGCACTCTAGAGAGAGACTGAGAGAGACAGTGAGAGTCGCGTACGACTACCAGTAGTGGACACTAACATATAGTAAGCTCTGCTTACACTATCTCTGTAACCTGTTGTTAATATATATTTTTTTTACATTTAATCCGTGTTCCGTGTTTCCCTTCTGTGGTCCCGACTTTGGCCGCACATCAGTGGCGACGAGTATTCTAGAAACGCACTCACGGCGAAACCTAAATACCTTACCAATCCCACATCTGGGTCGACGAAGAATTCTAGAAACGCATTCACGTCGAAAAACCGCAATACCTTGCCAGTCTCTCAACAGTGGCGACGGAAAAGATTCGAGAATTTCGTTCTCATCATATCAATAGTGACAGTACTCGAAAAATACACAAACTACATGCGTTCCCACAGCAGTGTTCAACAAGAAATTAAGCTGGTATTACTACATTAGCGATTTAAAAGCTAAAACACCCAGCGTCTACATATATTCCAATACCAAACATCAGTGACGAGCATCGATTCGACATCTGCGGAATATTAAAGTCTGTCCAAATAACAAGAATGAATTCTTACACACCCACCCACACACACAAAAACAAAAAGCAGTTGCGAAGTACTACCATTGTACTCAAATTTTCGGAAAAAAAACTATCGAAAATTTTTTTCTGTAACTGAGTTGAACTCGGGCATAAAATTATTCTCCCCTCAAATTCACTGAGGTGAGTTTTCTCTTTTTTTTTGTACCTTTCTAAAAAAAAAAATACATAAGTGTGGTGAAAAATTATTCAATTACGTTAAAATTAACGGAACCACGGGAAAAAAAAAGCTAAACACTTATATTTTGGTTTAGTTTAACTAATTGTCTGTCATATTTTTTTCTGTAAAAGAAAACGGAAAAAGGAACAAAAATCTATCAAGATTTTTTTTCTGTACCTCCGCTTAGTACTCGCGTTTCAAAGCAACAAAAAAAGCGCTGTCATTTTTAAATATGGAAGATTTTCAAAAAGCAGTTGACCAAATGTTAAAACTAAATTTGGATCAGCAACAAAAATCAGAAGAAAAACAACTATTTTTAAAATTACATAAACAACAAAGGGAATTCCAAAAAATTACGCTTCAGAACGCTGAACTACAACAGAAACAACTTAAAGAATTACTCGTAAATGCATTAACAGACTCAAACTCTGAAAAAGATACAATATTCTCCCAGAGTACAATCTACAATTCAATGGAAACGTTTGAATACGTACCAGAGGAAGACAAAACGTTCCAGGCTTTTTACAGGCGCTACGAAGATATTTTCAACGTAGACTGTGAACAATGGCCCAGTAAAAAAAAGGTACGTCTTCTATTGAGAAAACTGGGAACTACAGAACATAGTAGGTTCGTAGACTTCATACTACCCAAGAAAACAACTGACTTTGATTTTTCAGAGACTGTTAAGCTCCTATCGGAACTATTCGGGCCTAACACAACCTTGTTCCACAAACGTTGGAAATGCCTAAACACAGTCAAAGACAAACAGTAAGATTTTCTAACGTTTTCTGCATCGGTAAACAAGCTCTGTAATGATTTTAAACTAGCCTAACTGACTACCGATTTTTTCAAGTGCTTGATTTTCGCACAAGGTCTAGTATCAGCAGAAGACGCCGAAGTCAGACGACGGGTACTGACCAAGCTTGAGAACGAACAAGGATTGACTCTGCAAAAACTGGCAGAGAAATGTCAAAGAGTAATATCTGTAAAGTGTGACTCAAATACTATCGAGGAATCAGGTGTGACTCAGATTAATAAAATCAGAACCAAGTCTACCTCCTATTCCTTTCAAAAACACAAAAGGCAAATCTCATGTTCTAATTTCCGCAGTAACCAAAGCCCAAATAGGTTAAAGAAACAGCCCAGACCATGTTACCATTGTGGTAAATGGCATTGGATGAAATTCTGTCCAGTTAAGAACAAAAAATATTTCAAAAATTGCAATAAAAGTGGGCATACTTTAACTTCGTGCTGGTACGCCAACAGAACGAGAAGACCCCAAAATAAGATTAGGCAAGCTCAATCTGACAATATGGTCGATAGGAATTTAAGAAAATATGTAAATGTGGATATTTTCAATAAGTCCATTAAATTCCAATTTGACTCGGGTTCCGATCTTTCAACCATTAACTGGCGTACTTGGCGAAAATTAAACAAGCTGACCTTATTAAAAAAGGAAAAAACAGCAAAATCCGTAACTGGCGAAAAGATTAACATTTTAGGCGAGGTAATTCTTACAGAAACACTAAATGGAGTTACCAAAAAGCTCAAAACCTACGTGTTGAAAACTTCTGATAACTTATTTGGAACAGATTGGATAGAAAAATTCAATCTTTGGGATTTCCCAATGAGTACATTTTGTCGCAAGATACAAAGTACAACGTCCAATTTGGTAAATCTAAAAAAGGAACTTAAACAACAATTTCCAGTTTTTTTTTTCTGGCGGCCTTGGGAAATGTACTAAAATGAAAGCTAAGTTCAAGGTGAAGGACGGTGCACAACCGGTATTCAAAAAGAAACGGAATGTCCCTTTCGCTGCTCTAGAGCAAATCAACAAAGAGTTAGATAGACTCGAACAAGCAGGTATTCTGTCAAAAACAGATTTCAGCGAGTGGGCAGCACCTACGGTCTACGTAAAAAAGAAGTCCAATCAAATACGAGCCAACGCGATCAGAAACATGCCGGCCCCAGATAACGTTCAAGCGTTACAAAGCTTCCGCGGCCTAGCTAACTTTTACCAAGGGTTCATTAAGAACATGCAAAATTTAAGAGGGCCTCAAGTGATGCAAGCTCGTACGGCATTGGTGCTTGCATTCTGCATAAACTGCCAGATGGTTCGCGAAAAGCTGTGGCTCACGCATCAAGATATCTACTTCGATCTAGACATGCTGCCCCAAGTCTCACAGACGGGAAGTGCGAGATATGAAGCTATTGGAGTAGAAGAGACGGCCACATTTAACTGTTTCGACATTGAAAGGGCGGGGCCGTGATGCCAGCCTAGTAGCAGGCTTAAATTCATGAAGTCTGGGAACGAGCAAAAGTAGCTCGTCGGAGCAGTTACCGTGAAAGTATTTGTAGAAAAGACAGAAGGAGGCGACGGTACGTTTGTGAGAGAGCGACTGAAGACGAGATGCCAGATCAGGGCCAATTACGTTGCATATCCGTCTCAGGATCTTAAGGCGAACAGCGGGGGCACCAGACCATATATGGCAGCAGTATTCTATGCAAGAGCGAATGGTTGATTTGTAGATTTGAAGGATAGAGAAAAACTTTTTGGCACGACACAGGGACCAACTTTCCTTGCGGTGGATGAAGCAATTGATTCAATGTAGTCGTTCCATATGGATTAATATCATGGAAGATTTCTTTAACGTTGGTTAAATCCATATTGGTTATAATGCCGACATTTAATTTTCTTCGGAGTAATATAAATATGATATCTATTATTATGCTTTCATGCGTTGCTTTCCCTTGTCCCTATTTCCCTCTATCCGTCCTGTGAGCATCAGATTCTCCAATCCCTCCTTTCTCATTACGTGTCCAAGAAATTCCAGCTGCCTCTTCCTGATGTTAAGTATAAGCTTTCTCCTTGTTTGCATCCTTTCCATAACTTCATCGTTGCTCAAACGCTCGGTCCATGATATCCTTAGCATCCTTCTGTAGAACCATACCTCTGTTGCCTCGAGTCTCTTCTTCATGTTTGAGGAGACCATCCAACATTCGTTGCCGTAAAGGAGAACAGATGCCACGTAGCAGCTCAGTACTCTTTTCTTTGTTACCAATGGAACCCTCCTGTCTCGTAATACACTGCCTAGCTTTTGGAATGCGTCTTTGGCCATGATATCCTTAGCACCCTTCTGTAGAACCATACCTCTGTTGCTTCGAGTCTCTTCTTCATCTTTGAGGAGACCGTTCAACATCCGCTGCCGTAAAAGGAGAACATATGTCACGTAGCCGCTCAGTACTCTTTTTTCTTTGTTACGAATGAAACCCTCCTGTCTTGTAATACACTGCTTAGCTTTTTGGAATGCGTCTTTGTCCATGATATCCTTAGCATCCTTCTTCATACCTCTGTTGCTTCGAGTCTCTTCTTCATCTTTGAGGAGACCGTTCAACATCCGCTGCCGTAAAGGAGGACAAATGCCACGTAGCAGCTCAGTACTTTTTTCTTTGTTATGAGATGAAACCCTCCTGTCTTGTAATACACTGCTTAGCTTTTTGGAATGCGTCTTTGTCCATGATATCCTTAGCATCCTTCTGTAGCGCCATACCTCTGTTTGCTTGAGTCTCTTCTTCATCTTTGAGGAGACCGTTCAACATGCCGTAAAGGAGGACAAATGCCACGTAGCAGCTCAGTACTCTTTTTTCTTTGTTACGAATGAAACCCTCCTGTCTTGTAATACACTGCTTAGCTTTTTGGAATGCGTCTTTGTCCATGATATCCTTAGCATCCTTCTGTAGCGCCATACCTCTGTTGCTTTTGAGTCTCTTCTTCATCTTTGAGGAGACCGTTCAACATCCGCTGCCGTAAAGGAGGACAAATGCCACGTAGCAGCTCAGTACTCTTTTCTTTGTTACGAATGAAACCTCCTGTCTTGTAATACACTGCTTAGCTTTTGGAATGCGTCTTTGTCCATGATATCCTTAGCATCCTTCTGTAGCGCCATACCTCTGTTGCTTCGAGTCTCTTCTTCATCTTTGAGGAGACCGTTCAACATCCGCTGCCGTAAAGGAGGACAAATGCCACGTAGCAGCTCAGTACTCTCTTTTCTTTGTTACGAATGAAACCCTCCTGTCTTGTAATACACTGCTTAGCTTTTAGAATGCGTCTTTGTCCATGATATCCTTAGCATCCTTCTGTAGCGCCATACCTCTGTTGCTTCGAGTCTCTTCTTCATCTTTGAGGAGACCGTT